TTTCATTCCTTCCTACCTTTTTTGGTTTTTCAAGACAGGGTTTCTCTGTGTAACAGTTCTGAAACTCACTCTGTAGACCAGGCTGGCCTCAAACTCACAGAGATCCGCCTGCCTCTGCCTCCCGAGTGCTGGGATTGAAGGTGTGAGCCATTCGCCCTGCCAGTATTTGTTTCTTAAAACGTAAGCTCTGGGACGTGAACTCAGGGTGTCTTACTTACCAGCTAGTCACCCCCGGCCCTGATATTCTAAAATGACTGAAACCTGCAGTAAGTTAAAATAAGAAGGACTGGAGAGATGGCTCTGTGGTTAAAAGCACATATTGTTTTTGCAGAGGACTTGATTTCAGTTTTGAGCATCCATGTAGAGAAGTTCCTGCAACTCCAGCTGCAGGGGATCTGGTGACCCCTTCTGGCCTTCTCAGGCACCTGCACTCACATGCACACACGTTCACACACAGATACATACATACCTATCATTAAAAATAAATCTCAAAAAAAAGGAAAGTTAAGCAAAAAAGTTTTCACATGTGTAAAAATGCTGCAATTGTGTGGATGAGCAATGTTCCCCGTAGGCTCAGATACTGAATACTTGGTCCCCAGTTGGTGGCACTATTAGCAGAGGAAACAGAACTTGTAGAAGGTGGAGGCCTGCTGAGGAAGCTTTAGAGCTTATAGCCTTGCCCCACTTCCAGCTCGCTCACTGTCTCTCTCTCTCTCTCTCTCTCTCTCTGCTTCATGTTTACAGTTGAAATGTGCTCACTTGGCTTCCTGCTCTAGCCTCCCCTGCCATTACAGGTCCCTATCTGGACCAGTCTGTCACAGCAACAGAAAAGTAACTCATACAGATGCCTTCCAAAGGTGGCCAAGCAGGCACAGAAAATGCTCTGTGCCTTGTTTGTTACAGGGCTGTGCTCTGGAGCCAGTAAGGTAATACAGTAACCTGCACGAGAAGGATGATGTCCCCCAGCTCGACTAAGCTCCATGACATTCTGACTTTGTACCTTCCTATTCTCAAAGTCTTTACAAAACAAAACGGAAAGCCATTTCTACTCTAATGGTGAACCCTCTCTGCAGACTCACGATCCACGGAAAGGCCTTAAATCTACACAAGTCTCCCCCTTGGCCATTTTATCTGGCCTGGGCCTTTGTATAGTCTCTTCTTTTCCAAGCGAATAGGGATATTTAGAGTTAAGTTCTGTTTACTTAAGATGTACATTTTGTACCTTATTTCAACAAAAAGTCTTACCTTTACAACACAAATTTAGGATTGCTTGGCTATATAGATCACCTGGGACGATAAAAATGTAATAAAAAGACGTAAGATCACTTATAAGTCAGCAAGTGAAAAACCCAAGATGAAAGCTGTAGGATTGTGTTTTCATCTGTATTTTAGTGTATGAATGTGCATAAATGTGCATCTTAGGTCTACATGTAAACTTCTATATATACTTGTATTTGCAGGTTATGTACTTGTTACCTCGTTGATATGGGAAAAAACAACGTGTGTGTGTGTGTGTGTGTGTGTGTGTGTATCACAAAACATATGTGGAGGTCAGAGGACAACTTGCAAAATCTGCCATTTTAGGTACAGGACTAAATTCAGGTTGTTAAGCTTGCCAAGAAACAAATTTAGTCCCTGAGCCATCTTGCCAGCCCCCAAATCTTTCTTAAATTTTGATAAGATGAAAATGTAATGTCCAGGTTTATATGGCTTATAAAGCTTTAAGTTCATGTTATGATAAATTCAATGCCACGTATGGTGTACCTGCCTATAATCCCTGCACGTGGAAGGTGGAGGAACAGGACAAGGAGTTCAGGGCTAATGAGGTCATCTTGACCGTATAAGATTCTCTCTGTCTCTACCTACACACACACACACACACGCACACACACACACACACACTGATTGTAGGAACAAAAAGTAGAGAACAAAACTCAAAGTGCCAGGAATGTCGCCTCTTGAGAAATATATCTTATAACAAAACCACTTGCTAGTGTTCTAAGAGGCTAGGCTGTCAAGCATAAGAAAAGCAAAATTGAATTTAAAAAATGGCCTCTAGGCAAATACGGCCTAACAGTCCGTCCTTCTAGACCTGGCCTCTCAGATACTCTACTCTGACTGAAAGGGCCTTTCTGTCACTGCCTGCCACTCACCAGCACAGGACCAGACCCGAGCAACCGAAGCAATCTCACCCTGGCAACAAGTGACCAAGACTGAAACACAGGATGGGTGATCAGCAATGCCTTCCAAGAAAATCGTTCAGAGACAAGGGATGAAGTTGTCAAAGAAGACAACGACACACAGGAAGGAAGAAGGGAGGGAGAGAGGAGGGAGGGAAAAAATGGAGTCAGTTGTGCCAGCCCTTCCAAAAGTAAGCAAAGCTGAGAGATTACAACCAGGCTCTTTTCCATTAAATATTTATTTTATTGTATTTTATTTTATGTGTATAGTTCTTTAACCTTTATTTCTATTTTATGAGTATGGGTGTTTTACCTGCATGTTCGCCATGTGTATGTAGTGGTCATGGATACCAGAAGGAGGTGTGCTGGATCCCCTGAGACTGTAGTTACAGTAGTTGTGAGCCACCATGTGGGTGTTAGGAATTTAACCTCGTCCTCTGGAAGAACGACCAGTGCTCTTAATCACTGAGCCATCTGTCTAGCCCCTTATGAGGATGAAACTGTACCATGGGTGTGTAGAAGGTCCTCGGGGGTGAAGAGAGGGTGTTGGGTCCCAGGGAACTGGAGTTATAAACTGTTGAGAGCCACTAGACAGGTAATGGTTCTCAGTAGAAGGAAAAAGCAACAAGCTACATCTCCAGTTCCCAAGGTGACCTCACTAACTGGATCCCTTCGGACTTCGACTTTTACTGTACTTTGCTTATTTCTTCCAGGCACAGACATATTTCAGGACTTTCTCATGAGTTCTGTGATAGATGGAAGAGCAATCCAAGCCCTCAACAATGGGGAGTGGACAAGAAAGACAGAGGGCATTCTACCAGTGTAACAGGATCAAAAGAACCCCACTCAGACCGAGGAGAACCCAATACCCTGACAGCACCTCTCCCAGGGAGGGCCTCTCGTGGCTTCTCTCCCAGCCAACCCTTCACATGTGTATCCCTCCCCTTCCCAGTTCTGCAGAAATGCTAAATAAGCCAGCCTCTGTTTACCAATTCCTATCTGGAGGAGGGGGTGACAACAGGACACCCCAGACTCAGGAGCAGCCCGGTAAACAAAGAAGAGTTCTGTGCTCTTTTACTCGGTCCTGATTGCGGAAGAGTCTTCTCCATCTTGAGAGAACTGAGCTTTCGTTAAAACGTAATTTAAGACTTTAAAAAGTGAACTATTATTGTTTGGGGTGCATGTATGTCACTGCACACATGTAGAGGCCAGGGGAAAATTTTGTAAGTTAGTTCTCTCTACCCACTTTTATGTGGGCTCCGGGGATCAAATGAAGGTTGCTGAGCTCATGCGATAAGCATTATCCTCTGAGCCATCTCATTGGCCTCCCTTTTAAGCTTTTTATTGTGACTTTGATTGAGTGATGTACCAAGGTAACACTTATCGATCATCTCAAATGCCTTTATCTTTTTAACAAGTATCTCCATATCAAATTCTAAAAACTCTGAGATTTCTAGACAGCACCCAAAAGTTCAAGAGACCTATATTTTAGTATGTGTTCCAAAATGGTATGAGATTCCTAGAATCAGATTGTACTGATAATGTTGATTTCGTAAGAAACCCTCAAGAAATACAGTATTTCACTTTATAGCCCACACTGGCCTCAAATTTGCAATCCACCTGCCTCAGTGCTAGGATTAAATCGTCAAGCCTGGCTCCACATCTGCCCTAATATAGTATCTAAAATGAATTCTCACAGTGTGGTCCCAAATTACGGAAAGCGGCTCCACTATCAAACTTCAGCAGCAAGGAGCCCTAGGCCTCCCATATACCTCTGCAGCTCTCCATTTATCTGTCAATCATGTCCACAAGATTACCAATTCAACACATTTCACAGGCTGGAGAGATGGCTTAGCGGTTAACAGCACTTCCTGGTATCCCAGAGGACCCCAGTTCAGTTCCCAGAACACACACTGGGTGTCTCACAACCTCCTGTAACTATAGCTAGAGGGATCTGCAGCCCTCTTCTGGCCTCCATGAGCTCTGCACTCATGTGGCTTACACCCACATTCACACACACACACACACACACACACACTTGTGAAGCCCTCTTCTGGCCTCCATGAGCTCTGCACTCATGTGGCTTAGACCCACATTCACACACACACACGTGCACACACACACGTGCACACACACACACATACACACACGCACATACGAAGCCCTCTTCTGGCCTCCATGAGATCTGCACTCATGTGGCTTAGACCCACATTCACACACACACACACACACACACACTTGTGAAGCCCTCTTCTGGCCTCCATGAGCTCTGCACTCATGGGGCTTAGACCCACATTCACACACACACACGTGCACACACACACACGTGCACACACACACACTTGTGAAGCCCTCTTCTGGCCTCCATGAGATCTGCACTCATGTGGCTCACAACACACATGCACGCACACACGTACACACATACACACACGCACATACGAAGCCCTCTTCTGGCCTCCATGAGCTCTGCACTCATGTGGCTCACATTCACACACACACACATGCACGCACAAACATAAAATAGAAATAAAAACACAACCCAGAGCTCATGGTTCCCCAGGCACGGTGGTGTACACCTTTAATCCTAGCACTCAGGAGGCAGGAGCAGGCAGATGCATGTGCCCAAGTTCCAGGCCAGCCAGGGCTACATAGAGACACCCTCGCTATAAAAGGTAAGAAATAACGACCCACAACTCAAACTCCGTGGCCCTGAAGCCCCACAAACACCAAACAATCATTCCTAATTCTTAGAAGAAGCGGGAGCGGTGCCCTGAGGGTTTCTACCACCATCCCCTCAGAGCTCTCCATTCCCCAGCCTACCTTCCTTCCGCGGAGATCAGTCCGAGAGGCTTTCCGAGAAGAACGGCCGGGCCTTCTGGATCTGCTCCAGTCGATTCAGGATGAACTGGCTCGTGTCGATGAAGCGCTCGAAGCAGTTCACCAAACAGACCTCGGCCAGGCTGTCCAGCTTGGGCCCGGGTTTGTCCATGCACTTCTCCCAGCACAGCTCAGTCATGTGATGGACCAGCGGCTGCACCCGCTCCTTCTGCGTCTCCACCTCCACGAAATGCTGCAGCTGCGGGTCTACAGCGTCCAGGCTGCACACAGGCGAAGACCAGGAGGCCTCCATGCCAGTGAGCCCAGGGACGGAAGTGCTCCTGCCAAGCCCCGCCCCCCACGTGCTGGGGGGGGGGCGAGGGACCAGAAACCGGAAGTATCGTGGGCTGCCTCAGACCCAGCAGGCTGCTCTGCCTGGCCCAGCTTCTCCTATGTTCACACTATTAGACTCCATGAAGCTTTTCAGATCTTTAGTGAACAAACAGGTGCGTCTATGCAATGCCCGTCAAAATCAGGCTGAATGACTATGAAGAAGACCACGGTTAAATCGATGGAAGACCTGTTTTTGACCCGTGGTTTATCCTAAACTCGTTGGCTTACATTCCCGAAGATAAAATTTGACTGGACTTTGAATTTTGAAGAAACAAAGAGGGCACTCTCTCTTCATCCACGAAAGCCCTACAGAGGGCACTTAATGCTGACTAGACCCAGTTCTACCAGGTCCTCATTGATGGCAATGTCTCCGCCCATTTTCAGCCATGGACCGACCATATCGTTGTCATCCTCACCTCGACTCCTCAGCTTCGGGCAGAACATAGGGTCTTTGGGAGTGAGGAGTATTCTCAGGCCTTGTTGGTTCTGTTTTTTGTGTTCCGACATGGGGGCGGAATGAAAAGACATGGCCGGGGGGATGGACACCGTGAACTTAACACACGTGTATGACTTAAGCTGCCTATACCTGGTGTCTCCTATCCATTCACCCCTGGTTTCTTCCCTGTGGAAAATGAGCACTGGACCTTCAGAACTTTAACTCTGAGAAAAGTTTGGTCAAAGATGGAAAGTAAGAAAAACTGAGAGGTCGCTAGAGGGCGGAGAGATGGTTTAGAGTTTAAGATGGTTTAAGAGGACTGAAATAGCTCCCAGACCCACATGGCCACTCACAACCGTCTGCAACTCCAGTTCCAGGAGGTTAGACACATCTTCTGAGGTCTGTGGGCACCAGGTCTTCGCAAACATACATGTGGGCAAGCACTTTTGGTTTTTTGGAAAAACATTTTTAGATTTAAAAAAAAAAAAAAACAGGAAAATGTCACAGGAATGAGGTCACAAAGTTCTTCAATCTAGAGGACATACAAGACAGGATACCCCAGCTGGACAGGTTTTTGGAGACTTTGATGCCATAATGGTAAGAAATACACTCACCCAAACCCTCTTCTTCTGTAGGCTGGGATGTGTAAGTGATGGCGGATGAAACTCTTAGGCTGCTCTCTACCTCCAGTTGCTCTATTTTCCTTCTTGTCCCTTTTACATGTAATATTTTATATTATTTTAGAAACTCTATGGATCACAGACTAGCCCTGAACTTGATAGGAAGCCTAGACTTGGACCAGATTCCCAGTCCTCCACTTCTGTCCTGTGGAGTTCTGGGGTTACAGGTGAACGCCATCACGCTGGTCAGGGATCAAGAAATCCGACTTTTTATCTTTTCCTCCGTGCGGGTGACGGAATCCAGGGCTTGCACATGCTACTCAAGCACACTGTCATGGAGCCACATGCCCAGCTCTTTCCCCCGCTTAGATGGGTGAAACGGTAAAACTGTCACCCTTTGGGTGCCATTTTGGAACACTTACTCTTGGCAATTAGAACTCATGTTTTCTCCTTGGGTGGCTTTCCTCATTTGGGCTGGAATAAACGTTTCGTTCTCTCACTTGGTGTGGCTTGCCTGGACTCTTCAGACTGATGCTCATGTGCTCATGTACCTGCACAGACACAGGTACTTAGCCGTCCCTTTCGTACATGTGAACTTGGGTGTGTACCTGGCTCATATACACAGTGGCTACTCAGTCAGTGCCTACTGCATGAATAATGAATGTGCACAGGGTGAGGGGCACGCCACGACATCCTGCCTTTCTTGGGCTTCTTAGGTGGCACCATTTAACAAGGGCATGAAGGGCATTGCTTAGTGAAGCTTGTGATCTGTGTGTCAGTCATCTCTAAAACCTGCTTCAACTCTTCCTTATGTGCAGCGGAGGGAAGGAAATTTGCAGCAAAACAGATTTTAAAAACAAACCTAAGTTATCTTCGACAGACCTGGAATTTGGGAGGCAACATTTAGGTTCCCAATTTACATATGGGAGAACTGGGTGTAATGGTCTTTGTCGGTAGGAGGCAAGTTCGGGGGTGTGCTGACATATATTCTAGGCTATGGGAAACCAGAGCGTGTGGGAGGCTACACCAAGTCACAGCACACCCTGCCGTTGCTATTCCAACCAGGCAGCAGAGCGGCTTGCTGGAGTATGGTGCTTCAGTTAGGCTTCGGAGCAAGCCTCTGAAGAAACTGAAAACAGCCACCCTTCAGTGACCACAGGCTCATAGCTGAGGCGCTACTGGTATAGTGGGAAAAAGCATTTTCTGTGAAATGGAAAGAAGGAAGGGGCTGTGGCCAGAGGGCAGCCCAGCCTCTCCCTGCTGGTGAGCAGGCAATTTAATTTGCAAGAGAGGCACACCCTGTGAACGAGTCGTGCCTATCTGGGTTGCGAATGTGTCTTCCCAGCTCCATTAAGGAGCCTTGCCCACATCCCACACCCCAGGGAGTCTGGAGCCAGGGCCAGCTCCCTCTCCTTTTCTCCCGAAAGCTGAGCATATGTGAGTCCCCAGACAGCCCTTCGTGCTTTACCTGGCCCATTGCTCCCAGTAAGAGCAGAGTAGTGGCTGCTCTTGAGTTTCCTGATGCTGATGGCTCGATTGTTACATACGTGGTCTGAATCTCAGCCTGTGGGGGGCATAGAAATGGAGCCGAAATGAAACCAGCCTCCTGGGCCGACTTTCCTCCCTGCCCCTCCCTGTCATAGCCACGTGGCATCCTGTGGTAGGGACATTGCCTGGGCTGGTCCCCGGGCTTTTCGTTTGTTTTTTAAGCAGGAGTGTAAAGGGAGGAAGCTGTAGAGTCTAGCACCATGAACAGATTCATGTTCTAAAGGGCCGGTGCAAATGGGCACTTTACCATGATTCACAGACAGGAGAGCAGCAGGCTGTCTGTTCAACAGGTCTGTGTGGCATCTCTGTGTTGCTGCCCTTGGTGATTGCAGATGCCCATCATCACCGTGGCTCTTGGTTCCACCCCTTTCTGCCACTATTGCAGTGCTCTCCTACCCGTGCCCTGCTCGGCAGACTGTGTCATTCCCAGAGTCACGTGCCATTGAGCAAAATGTATCCAGAGCGGTTCTGTGCATTGTATTCGGAGGAGACACTTCATAGGACTTCCGGGAGCCCGTTTAGTTCTTCATGCATGTGACTGTATTATTAATAATCGATTGTCCTGAAGGGAACTATACCTTATTACACCTCGATGGGTCTCAAAGGACAGGTGCTTTTTGTGGGAAGGAAATAACGAGACACTAACTTCATAGTAAGGCCTCCATGAGACGTAGTTCCTCAGAGCAGAAGGGGATCGAGGGTAGTGGGGTGGAATATTTTGTTCTATTGGGGAAAGAACCATGAGGTGAGGTGCACGCAGAGCAGGGCCGAGGAGCATCCCTTTGGCAGATCTGGGACAAGCACTTACAGCACACTCTGATGGCTGGTCTCTTTTCTGAGGTCTGTACCAACATCAAGAAGCAATGGAGCAGAAGCCCCCAGTTGAGAGTGACCCCCGTCTGAGGCATCAGGTTCCACAAGCTTGGTGGTTTAGTAGCTCCGCTGTGACTATTTAACCCGTGCCAACCTCCCTCGACCCACAGCTGTTGTGAGGGCTCCACCCACTCCTCCTTGGGTGTGACTTTTCTGTGGCTTCCAGCAGGGCAGAGCATCCCGAGCTACTGTTTCATGTCAAATACTAAGGGAAAGAAAAAGCGGAGGTCTGTCCCCGGGCTCAGTTAGTTGGAGAAACAGTGAGTTCCTGTCCAGGGCCAAACAAGCAAAGAGGGACAGGGGTTGTAAGTTCTGCAGAGGGCGGAGGCTTCAGCGGAGGGGCTGTGTGGCAAGACCTCCAGGGAGGAATAGCCTGTGGGAAGTGGGAAGGGGCACAGGACATCAGGCTGAGGAAGTAAACAGGGGCAATGAGTGAACTCTGAGGGTCCCACAGAGCTGAGGCTAGGAGGTGGCATGTCCTGAGGAGGAACCACAGGAAAAGCCAAAACGAGGGACTGCTGGAAGAGCCAGGCACTTGAGCAGCCAGTCTCAACCAGAGGAAATCAAGAAATAGAAACAAGTTATGTTTCTATTTGGTGCCAGATGCTTTGTGTGCGCTCAGCTTGCTTCCAGAAGGTGCACTGACTGTGGCTTAGACCCCCTTAGCTGAACTCAGCGTGGCTTGAGGACGAACCTGTTTAGGGAAGGTAGAGGAAGAGGAGCCACCCTCCTGCTCACAGCCAGCAAGCTCAGGGCAGACACTGTACTCAGGGGGTGCTCTGTAGACGGCTGTATTCCAAAGGGTCATCGTTTCGTTGAGGACTCAAGTCAGCCTACATACCCATGGGATCCTGATGGGGGCCAGGTGGGTCGTGGGAGAGGGAGCAAATGCATGTGTGTTTATGGGTACGTAGTGTGTGTGCAAGATCCTTAGAGCCAGAGCCAAGAGTAGAGCGATAAAGGCAGGGTCGAGGCAGGAGCTGTTCTAATAGGAGAAATGGGGCTTTGCCATAGGTTTCTTTCCGGTGTCAAGGTTACAGTTTTGCACACTAGGCAAGTGCTGTACCGCTAGGCTGTACCCACAGTCCTTGCTGTCGGTAGGGCTAGGCTGTGTTAATACTCCACAGACAAGTGGCAGCCTCTTGACAAAGGGCAGGAATGTAGAAGTAATTTACCAGAGTCTGAGCATTTACAACCAGGAGTTCTTAATTCTTCGCTCTGATAGGATTCCTGCTGAAGTGGACAGAGGTGTTCAGACATGGAGATAGAGGTGAGAAATTGGATCACATATTGAGGGTAATCGGACATCATGAGTGGAGGGGTCTCTCTAAATGGGCTTAGTGGATCTGTCTTTGGGGTACTGACATGAGATTTAGCCTCAAGTAGAAAGCAAATTTGGGCAGGTATGGAAAGAACAATGCATTAAGCAGTCCTGGTGAAAGTGTGACCTGCCCAAGTGTCTCAACTCTAGTCCGACAAGGTGGCCTGAGGCCATCAGCCTATCTCCTGTGGATGCTCACCTCTGCTCCAGGGTGCTTGCTATTGCAGGTAACTGCCTTCATCTGGGGTGGGGATGGGGCA